TGGGGAAGGGAATTACCAGGCAAGAACTTGCCTCCTACCTCTGGTTTTGAGCTGGGAGGTTTGCGTGTGTCCAAAGTCTGGCTGCCCAGGGTGTGGGCTGTGCGATGAGTAGGTCTTGGGGGAAGGACCGCCCTCTCGGCATTGCCCAAGCTGTACCCCCAGTCCCTCCCTCCCGCTGGGCTCCAGTGGAGCCTGCGGCCTGGGTCTTTTCCCCTGTTCCCTAATAACTGGAGTCCTGGGGCCAGGAGAGGGGAACAGGCCTGGAGGGCAGGACGCAGGCTCCTGGGGCTCCACACCTGCAGAAAGGCTGGGCAGCCTCTTCTGCCCCTGCTCACCCCTCCGCCTCCTCCCTCTCTCAGACAGCAGTAGAGCCTTCCTGAACCAAAGGCGTTTACCCCTGCACATCCCCACTCCCACAGTCACCATATGTCACCCACGAAGCACACATCCTCACTCCCAGACACAGCCCCCAAGCAGCCACTCTCCTCAGTGAACTCAGCCAGGAGCCTCCCAGCCTTGCCCTCACGGTCACACTCCCCGGCTCACACTTTCAGCTCCAAGGGGCTCTGCTCTGGGGCCAGGGACCCAGACCCCTCCCAGCTAAGGACCAGCCTTGGGGTGGGGTCCTGCCCAGGGCACGGCTGTCCTTCCCCAAGTGTCTGGGACTCTTCACCAGCCTGCCCATGTGCTGCTGGTCCTGGGATATCAGGACGAGAGCCCAGCCAGCAAGGACCTGCCTGTCCTGCCTCCTTGGTGGGGGCAACCCTGCATTAGCTTCGCTTCTCCTTTCACCTCCCTGCTCCCCTCCCTTCTCTGGGTCTGGGCAAGTTCTGGGGGGCATTCTATGTCTGGCTGCCTTTCTGTAGGTATGTCTGTGGTGCAATGCTCCCCCTTTCTCCTCCTACCGCTCCCCGTTTCCCCTGGATCGGGGCATTCCAAGGCCCAGGCCCCTTGCCCCTCCTGTCCACTGGCCTCCCCATCCCAGGGCCTCAGCAGCGGCTTCCAGGACCTCACAAAGCAAATAAGCCAAGTGCAACCAAGGAGATAAAAAGGGGCCGGGGCCAGTCGGGGCTGGGAAAAGCCCGTAAAGATAAGGCTGACATCCCGGCTGGTCCTCAGGCCACGGGCAGCAGGAAGCAAGGAGCACCCCGCATGGTCAGCGCCAGAACCCGCCTTGGGCCACGTGCGCGTCCAGGGCTTGGGCTTAGAAACGCAGGAGCCCCCGGCAAGGGGAACTGCATGGCCAGGGTAGTGGCTCGCTCGGGCACAAGACTCTGGTTTCAACTATATCTGGTGCCAGTTGGGATGGGCGCCCACGATCTGCTGGTCCAAGATGCGGCGGCCCCTAGGCCCTCTGCGGGACACTTGTCACACCCCGAGCCGGCAGCGGCTCACAGCGGCCTCTCTGCTGCCGAGCGGTGCCCAGCAGGTCCTCGGACACCGATCTGCCCCGACTGGGGACCAGGCGCTCTCCTCCTAGGGGCTCACCTCTGCCTTTTCTCTCGGTCAGGGAGCCAAACCCCACAGCTCGCCTCACTGGAGCTCCCTCTAATTTCCTTTCCTTCCCGCCTGGCTGGCCCAGAGCGGCCGTCCCCGTGGTCCCCGCGGCACAGCCGGGTCTGCATCCAGCCGGAGTCCGCGCCCGCTCGCCCCTCTCCTGGACCCTCTGCGGGCGCGGCGGGCGGCTCCGCATCCGTCGCCTTCAGCCGCCTGGCTTTCCAAGAACAGCATTTTCTTTGCTCTCTAGATTACCGGTGGTATTGTTCTTGCACTGGGGGACTGTTGTATTTCAATGCTCTCTGTTAGCAAAGTAGTCGTCTGCTCAGTTCAACAACATTAAGAACATTTATCCTAGCACATAAATTATTGGCTATTTTTTATCTTTAATACTATATGGTTCAAGTACTGGTCTGATTTATTAATTCAGCATTATTAAGCCTGGGCCCTCTTGCTTTCCTGTCAGTGCCCATCATTCTAGGGCCTAGTGTTCCAATAGGTCTTGTCAACCTAGCATTGTTTTAATTTGTGTCCCTAAAATGTCTCCTCGGTCTCTGTGCTTTGTCACGTTTCAAAAACTTATTTACCATACTTGGAATATTATTGTTCTCAATATTCACCTTAATTTTCTTCGAATCCTTATAATACTTAATACTTGCTGTTTTTTGCCATTGTTTGTTTTGTTCAGATTGTCCCTAATACTCCAGGTAGTCTTCATCACATTGTTACGATATCTGTTACCTTCTCATTATTAGCCATGCTACAGATCTTAATTTCCTAGTTATTTTTCATCACATCATTACTTGTTGCTATTTTGTCATAATTTGTAATATTGCTGTAGCTCTTAATATGCTGGTTATTTTCATCACATTGGTACAATAGCTCTTACTACTCTACCATTATTTATAATGTTGTTGGGACTATTAATACCCTGGTTGTAAATTGTCATATCACTCCAGCAATTCTACTTGCTGTCTTTATTTGTATTACCATAGCTCTTAAGATTTGGGTTAATATTCATTTTAATAATTCATTATAGTATCAGCAATAAATTATATGGTAGTATTCTGTCAATTCTACTAATATTACCATTTCCCTGCGTAGTATTTCTTAGTCACATTTTTCCTACATTTTTATCATTTTTACACGATTACCATTTCTTATACTATTGCTATTGATTTTAATACAGTGGTTCTCATCACATTGTTCCTATATTTGGAGTTACTTTGTCTGTGATCCTTTTACATTTGTGGGTACAATTTTCACTTGGTTCTGAAAGTGACTATTATTGTCTTGTCGTTTTAAAGCCCGAGTACTGCATTAGTTATGCTGCTTAGCCCGTTTCTTTGGTAATTGCTTGCTCACATTCTGATAATTCTTGATCATCGATCATTATCTACATATAATGCTCCTTGCTTTAATTTTGACTATATACACCGTCAGTAGCTGGGCCTTCTTTCATGGCCTTTCCTATTCTGCAAACTTCAATTTCAAAGCTACCTCGGCTTAACCTGGTTCCCTTGGCGCTGGCTCTTCTATGCTCTTGGGTCCCTAGACACAATTTGTCTGGTTGCTTGGAGGAGAGGAAGGCTCACGCCCCAACCGCTGGGAGTCGGGCTGAGGCGGCAGCCAGATCTGGGGCACTTCTCGCTGCCCTCCTGTCACCTTAATCGTCCCCAAGGTTCTCGCCCGGTCTCGTTACTCGCCCCCTTTCCAGCTTAGCCTCCCTGACCCTGCAGCCTAACCCTGGGCGCGGGGTGGCCCCCGTCCCGCACGCCTGGCTCACCCCCATCCCCGCCAGAACCCACACTCACCCTAACTGCGCTGCCGCATGCGGAGGCGCCTGCGGCCCGAGTCCCCTGCAGGCTCGGGTCCGAGGAACACTGGACAGCCGCCTCCGGATCGGGCCTCTGGGTCAGGATCCCTCTGCCCGCCGCGCCCTCGGGTCCCGTCACATCCCGGCTCTGGAGCGGACCCTTGATCTCCGAGGCTGCACTTTGGGGCCTCAGCTCCCTCCTCCTCCCTCCCTCCCTGCGGGGACGCCCCCCCCCCTCTGACGTCGCCGCTGTCAATCAGTCTGCGCCCGCCGCCCCCGGTTGGCGGGGGCCTCAAGGGGCCCCTGGTTCCGCGGCCCCGGGACCCCAGCCCGGAAGGAGCCGCCCGCTTCCCCACCGCGCGGCCCGGTGGCTCCCTGGGGCCCTAGGGCCCGCCGGCGGGGCGGGGTGGAAGCCCGATTGTTTAGATAAGAGGGGCGGAAAGAGCGGTCGAGAAGCCGGCCGCACCCGGCGGGTTCGCACCCGAGGCTTCGAAATCCAAGGAAGGGAACGCCCCCAGCGGCCCGCGAGGGCCCGCCACCGGGGGCCTTCCCCGGGGGGCCTCCGGGCCTTGGGCCGCGTTTTTCAAAACCGCCGGCCCCGAGCCCGGGGGCTCCGCGCCCGCACACACCCCGTCCGAGCCGGCTCCCCGCCGCGCACGCCGGGTCTTCGCCAGCCGCTTCCCCGTCGCAGGGCCCGCGCGCCACGGCCCCGCGCTCCGGCCTCCGACCATGCCCAGCACATTCTCACACCTGCGCGCAGGCCGCGCTCCCTCCTGCCCTCGGGCTCCGGGCACCGTCGCACGGCAGGCACCGTCTCGTCTGAGCACAGCCCCTCTGCTCACCGGACCCTGCTCGCCGGGGGCCCCTCTGCTCACCGGACACTGCTCGTCGGGGGCCCTGCCGAGGACGGGCGCTGGGACCGGCCTGGCGCTCTTGGAGTTGGCCGTGGAGGTCACCGGGTGAGGGCAGGGCCTGCTCTCCGACAGGGAGGAGGCCTGGAGCAGCGGTGCTGGCAGCTGGGAGGTGCCTCGCCAGCCTCTGAATCCGAACCGGAGCCGAGGCCCGGACTCCAAGGTGCCAGGCTTGGCAGAGCCTCTTGGGGAAATTGTGGCGAGGACCAGGACTCTGCCAGCAGCTCCCCGAGATCCCAGAGAGCTGAAGAGGAAGCCCAATGCCTGCTCCAGTCGAGGAAGCCCTGCTTGGAGCCAGCCAGCCTCTGGGCCTCAGAAAGTGAGGACCACTCCACTGCCAGACCTCCCTGCGCAGCCTCTGACTCCCACTGTCTCCACTCACCTCTATTTATCTCTGTCCGTCTGTCTGTCT